AGTAGCAATAGGGTATACGCGTGTGAAAATTTTACACTGGAATATATTTTTGTTCTATTACTCATATGTATAGATGTCGAATTATACATCCGAAAAACATTATTAAGCACCGAATATTCAATAATTTCTGATTGAAAATCATAATATTTGGAACTTTCCGACCAACAGCCGAACTGCAGCGATGATTTCCGACTGGATGTGGCTGTTTTTATTTGTCATGTCAAACATTCATGTCCGAAAGATTGGAAATAATATAAGAAGAGAAAGTGGGGTTATGATTATCTGAACTTGTAGTTTCTAAGTTCTGTGAGTTTCTATAACTATAATCTATCTCAATTATATGATCTCAATATTCTGAATAATAATAACTGAATAATAAGCAAATATCTACAATGAGAATGATCAAACAGGACTTCTTTCTGCATGTTGTTTCAAATATATATTACCACCTATCAATTTATATCTCATATAGTTTTCCATATCTTCTTCAAGCTGAAAACGAAATCACATATTATATTATTCTCCTAATAACATGAGGTACATAATCATTGATATATAATGGGTTTCACTAGGACATACTTGAACGTATACTCACTTCGAAATGGTCTTCACAAACAAATCCTCTGGTTTTCTCGGATAAATCATTTCCATTTATGGCTTGCAACCATAATTTTCTTTTCTCTTTATTTTTATCACTCGATCCCACTGGCAATGAAAGGAATATTTTTCCTGGTGATACTTTTGTTGATGAAAGGCATTGCGGCACTAAACAGTATTTGGTATAAACATTATCATTTTCCATTTTCAAATTTCAAATTTCTGTCTGGCGTTTGAAACTGTTTTCTTCTCCTACCTCTTCTTCTACTTTTTTTTTCAATCTGAATCTTGTCATTCTGTCGCGCTAGTCTATGGCTGTGCGGCCTAATACTATGACGTCATAATATTAGTGATGGCCACTAAACCGTTTTCCTGTGACTTCATATTTAGCCTCATTTAAATGAAATTTTATAGAGTCACAAGCAAATTTGAGATTAATGAATGATATCCAATGTTATTATAAGGAAGAAGGAATATAATTTCGATTAAACAAAAAATCATGCGTATTCCTTATTGGTTCACTTGAGATCAATTGCTGAAAGTGCTTTCCAAAAACTTGGTATTCCGTTCCGGGCCACGAGCTATTTTACTTCCAGTCAGCTGCTTATGATCTATAAGGCACATATCCAACCTGTCCTGGAATAATGTCCCCATATTTAGAGTGCAGCACCCAAACATACTCTGAAACTGTTGGGTTCCTTCCAAAAAATGGTAATTCGTCTCGTGGGTAATGCCTCGCTCACAAACTCACTCACTTCTCTGGAACACCATTAAAAAGTCAACGAACTGGCTCTATTTTATAGATATATTCATGGACGATGCTCTTCTGAAATATTAATAATTGTTCCTCCCTTGGCAGTCCCTGCGAGATTAACCCGTCGAGTTGAGGCTTCGCACCCCGTCGTGGTCACTTTGAAGACCTGCAGAACATCCCTTTCCAGAGACTCGTTACTCCAACGAACAGCGAGGCTCTGGAACACATTGCCAAGGAAGGTGTTTCCTGAGGTATATAACCTCAAGAAATTCAAGAAGAACACCTATTCCTTCCTTATTTCCCTTTGTTCTCACGATGTTTTCTGAACATCACAGGATATTCCTTTTCGTGGGAACCAGAAGATAAAAAAATACTTCCATAACGAACCATCAACGATGAATGCATATTCTTCCAGAATTAGCATTTTCTTCATTCTGTGTAGAAATCCCATCACACTCTCAAATAACACGATTGTGAGGGTCCTGAAAATAATATCACATTATCCTGGGAGAATTTGGAAGAAATTCAGGGAGTTTCTGAGATAACTCCGAGTCACACCTGCTAGTAAGATTTCGTCCACACTTTTCCACTTATTTTCTGGAGTCTAAATTATTGGGCATATTTCCAATGGCAGAGAATTCTGAAGCTCTGCCGTTCTAGAGACAACCCAATTCTGGAAAAGTGTTATTCTATATATTTCAAATTTATCAAGAATTCACCAGAAATTTACTGTACTATGAGATGAGGCGAGAGTGTTGCAGTATCATATCAGTTTCTAATTAGAAGTTTCGGGAATAAATCAGGATAGCATGCGTGCTGATGTGGTCAGATATGGCCATTCGGGTGTGTATTGTTTCGTGAAAGCTTTCTGAACAGACCATTGTCCATTTACTTAATAGTGTGTTATGGATTACTTAACGAACTACGAAGTTGGCTATGACATATTTGCAGCACCAGTGGTGTAATGCTGATAAATTTCAGTTATCCTTTTGTTTAGGAGTTAGAGTTTACGATAGGTTGATTTTTTTGTTTGTTTGTTTATCAGTTTCTTTGTATTGATTAGGCTTCAAAATAACTAGACCGATTTGAAAAATTATTATATCATTAGAAACCGACATTATCCCTGAGAAGCATGGGTTACTGCCAACCGCAAAAAATGCTTCATTCCAACGGGTTGTAAGAATTATCCTTCCGTACTTAGGAATCTCATTCACATAACTTCCAAACGGCTGAACCGATTGGGTTGAATTTTGTTTTGGGTATTTCGATGGTTTCCTGGATGATTTGAAAATATAATTGAAGGCGGTAGGTGGCGCTGCTGTTTGTACATCCACTACTGAACGGCTTGAACGATTAGGTTGAAATTTTTAATGATGAAAAGAATTTCTTCGATCCGACGATTCCATTTTCTTGAGATTTAATTGCTTCGTAAAAAATATTTTCAGTTGAATGGAGCAATATATACACTCACGAATCAATCGGCTTCCTTGCTCTGTTTGTTGAAATTTCTTGACATGGATTTGCTCAACATGAACAGTAATATTCTTCATTCAAGAAAACTGCGACTACGAGTGACATGAATTCCAATTTATATTGGTTAGAAAGAATCCGTGCTTGCCTTAAAGACATGCAGTGACGTTTATACACCGATACACTTGCGCTCATTCGACTCCTCAATCGTTAGCCGCCATTCGTCATTGCCGCTGTTGTTTCTTCTGAAGACGGTGCAGAGCACGATTGTTTTTCAATGGTGAAGTGTTCAAGAATCGAGTGTGCTGAGTCATGGACGAAAATGGTGTCTCTCTTCACAGCACTGCGACATTCCTTATATGAGAACAATTTGCAGTGTTAAGAACTTTGTATTTTATCGTAACTTATAGTTGTACCTAGTGAGGTGTTCTTCCTTCATATTCAATCAGAAACATGCTAAGAACCTTGATATCAATTAAACCTGGAACCATAACTACCCATCACTGTCAACGCATATTGCCATGTTGAATAATGATCGAACCAATAATAATACGTCTCCTTCCTTCGTGTTTCCACATACCTATAATAACTTTTATACATGCCTTTTTGTCCAACGCAAATTTGCTTGTAACCAGAAAATATCTACACTGAGGGAAAACTTGAGTTATCATAATTGGAAATCTGATAACCGTTATCACGATATCTGCAATAAATAGAGGACAGATGTGTTCATTTGTTACCATAGATGAAGTGAATTTTCAGGTGGCTTGTAGTTATGGCAGCATATTCAATTTGCAAACTTGTATAAACACCGCTGCTGAATAACTACAACTTGTTCTAGTTTCTATGAGAACACAGAGTGTCGAATAGGAATTATTCCCACATAAATGTTTTAGTAACTAATCCACTCTATATCCTGTGGTTATTAGACTATCGTCATAAAACAGCCTTTTCTCATTACTGGTACGACTACTTTGAGGTAACGCAGTTATTCGTTTCATTTTATTATTGTTATCTGTTATCTGAATGAAACCTCACATTTTGACATGCTATTGTAATATAGCTCATTCTCAAAAGTTATCCCAATATTTTTCTACTCTAGTATATTCATCAAACAGTGGTGATTAGGTTATCTAATCAACATTGTTCGATAGTATGAATTATGAAACCATGCCTTGAATCAGGGCAATGAAAATAAATATCCTATACACACTTAATTTTCATGATTAAAAGTTATTTTCTTCAAAAAACAAAAAATACGATTAGTTTCTGAATTGAAATATCCGAGTTTGTCTGGAAGTTTTTTCGACATCACTCATTGATTTTTCTCGGAGAAATATCACCTGTAAACATACTGATGAATTCGTTAAGAAATGAGAAGTTGAATACTTATATTTACTCTTCCTACAGAGTTATGATGAGAATTGTCAATGAAACTTCCCTCACAAAAACCCAGATATTTTGATTCAGAATCTCATCGATCATTTTGTTTTTCGAAATAAACCAATTTTAGGCCGTGATGAGTGGGTTTCTTCATTGCAGTAATGCAATGAACGGTGTATTTCACAGCTCGGTTCACAGCCAGCACTGAAACAAAATTTTGCTACACACCTTCACCCACAAGACACGGCTCTATCGATTCGGACGATCGAAATTATTGAACGATAATTTAACACGGGCACCCATGAACGAGGACAGAAGTGAAAATGAACGAGATCTGTAGCTTTGCCAGTCCCAAAACTAATGAAAAACTAGAGCGAAATGAGTCGAATCACGATTGTCGGATGATTTTTTTTTATCGCTTGGAGCGCACGAAAGGGAATCTCTATAATGTTCAAAGAACATCGTGCGTTCCTGTCTGATAACCGTCATACATATGAATTTGCTATAAAGTTATTCGTCAACGTACAATGCTAGAAACCCAAAGTGCTATGATTATTGGGACAAACATTATCTCAATTCACCAATAAGAATAATCCACAAAACGAGCTATGTCGATAAAAAATCTAAATAGACCAGAATTTATAAAATTCTCATAATGTCATAACACACCTGCGTTATGATGGTATACCAAATGTCCATTCAAGGGTATTACAAATGGTTTGAGAAAGCGATTTTGATAACTACAGAATGGAGAGAATACAGTTGTAATAATAAAATTATCAGTAATAGGAGATTTATTCATAATGATCATCACAATCAGAGATGGTAGATATTTTTGATATCCAGTTTCTCTCAGTGTAGATGTCTTGAAATTTCGTTCGTTTACGACAATGCATGGCAGTGATGAATGTAATTGTTGGTTCTTCTGAAGTGAATTTCTTATTTCTCTATCAAAAACTTGTTCATTTTTTTTGTTACAGATAATTCATATCAATATAGTGGATGCTCGATACACCTGGATTTCTTGTCTGATTTTTGCTCTCTTCATTCAGATATCTTGACATCAATATATTTGATGTAAATACACTGTACACTTCAGTTTGAATGAATTTGTTTCACATATACTCTTCATTCGTTTTGTTTGGATGAAAAGTAAAACAATTGGAACTATCCAAACCGTTCGAAAAACCGTTTGGAAAATTCAATTTTGATAGTGATAATCAATGTGTTATCCTCGAAGCCTAGGTATATTCTACTATGTTTTAGCCTAACATATTACAAATTGACACACCCAGAAGAGTTGTAAAGAAAATGTTCAACTCACTGACGATGATTCCCTATCATTGTGAACAATTGACTAACATAGTTTTTGAATTATCACAAGAAACGAAACAGAAGAAAGTACACTGAGAGAAACTGGATATTAAAAATATCTACCAGCTCTGATTGTAATAACCATTATAAGGAAATCTCCTATTCCTGATCATTTTATTATTACAACAGTATTCTCTCTATTCTGTAATTATAAAAATCGATTTCTTAAATCATTTGTAATACCCTTGAATGGACATTTGCTACCATCATAACGCAGGTGTGTT